TGATGACAAGCAACGGGAGAGTTGGAAAAAGGACGTAGAGGACATTCATGTGGTCAGCAAAAGCTGATTTATGAGCCAGACTCTCCAATTCCCCACTTGAACACGGTGTCAAGAGGGTGCCGTCATCAAACCCTCCAGCCAGGCAAAGGCCCTAGTGCCGAGGTCTGGAAAGCCCTTCCCACGCACCCTCGGGGAAAGTCACCCAAGCTGGCTCCCAGCAATTCGGTGGCCCGACATCACCCCTCCATTCCCACCCTCCCTGGTGGCATGGAGAAAGGAGGATGCTTCTTGCCAAAGAGATACACAAAGGGCTCACTGCAGCGCTGCACCACCAGCCCCAGGCACATCATCCATCCCAAAGCCTACACCACACCACGTACCACCACCCCCCAAATCCTTCCTGCCCTCCTCTCCTGTCGCGCCAGAGCAGCCACGTGATCAGTTTTATTTATCCAAGGCAAAGGACAACCAGGAACCCAGCCGCGGTTTTCGGCTAATGTGCAGTTGGGCAATAGCAGAGAGGGGTGGCGTTCGCATTTCCACCGCCTGACGAAGCCGCGGGTTTTTTATGGCCTTTCAGTTCGCGCTGCCGATGCGCACCAGTCTGCGTGCTACTTAAATTTGTGCAAGGAAGAATAAAAGAGGAGGACGGGGTGAGGGAAATCAATATTCTGTTGAACGAACTGGGCCCATTATTTGTTCCTGATTTATTTATTACCTGCACGGCTGCTGTTCAAACTGGCATGGCCTGGTTCTTCCTCTGCCTAAGTTTAACCCCCGGTAGACTTTGAAGAATGGCTGATGTGCCCCACGCGTCACGGCACCCCACGGAAGAAGAGGGAAGGTGCCTTACGGAGCCCGAGGCAGTGAACCTGTGAGGTAGGTAACATGATTACAATCTGAACAGCAGGATTTATTGGAATTTGTTTCAAAGATGTTTTTTTCTTTTTTCTTTTCTGTCTGAATGTGATGAAACGGCAACAGCAAAAGACCGGTGCGATTGGCGATGACTGATTCCTTGTGTGCGTGTTCAAGGCATGAGCAGAGCCTGCCCAGTGCTTTTTGGAGAAAGGCACACAGTGTATTCTGGGAAACCAGAGCTTTACCAGTGGCTTTTTTTGCAGTCCCCTGGGTGGCTTCAAGACCCATGCTGGTCCTCCCAGAGACACCTGAAGTCAAAATTCATCTTGGAAGCAGAAATGCTAAGGACACAACCAAAAAAACCTGGCCAAGCAGGGCAGATACTCGCAGCCCCGAGTGAGCTGGCTGCCGGGAAACCGCAGGTGGGCTCAACGGGACACAGATGATGGCTTTTGTCATCTGCTTTTGTGCTGTCCCTTGCTTGAAGGCACGTCAGGTGAGTATGTCATAGGCCCTTTCTTCTATGCCCCCACAGAGACTGGGATTGTCAACCCAAACAGCCCTGGGCACGTGCTCCTGTCCTCGCACATCAGAGGTGCCACATCCACGGCCATGCCATGGGGCTGTCCAAGAGGATTGCACCGACAAGTTTGAAGTGAGACCTCTCACGCACAGCCAGGCTACCAACCCGTCACGGCCCTCCTCGGGCTCACCCAAGGCACCGCCCTGAGAGGGGTAAAAAAAAATCCCAAAGAGCTTGAGACACGAAGGACAGTCGCTCCTGAGTGACAAATAAATAGCAGGTTTGCTGGAAGAAAGCCCTTTGGAATCCAAGGTCCATCGCCCCAGTGCCGCCGGGAGCCTTGTCATGAGATCAGTCTGTAAATTATAACTCTTTTTTAATGAGATTTCTTTTAAAACCAGAAACAGTTGGGGACAGGGCTTGCAGAGGGGGCTTGCCTGCCACCCCTGCCCTGCCGGTTGATCACAGCATGGGTTTGTTCCTACGTACGAGAAGAGGAGAGGCCCCTCGGAAAAGAAAAAGAGTTTCAGCTGCTCTTGGAGAAGTGGCGAACGTAGGCGGCTCCTAGTTCTGGTGCCGCTTCATGTGGAGAGCCAGATGGTCGGAGCGGGAGAAGCACCGGCCGCAGGCTAGGCACTTGAAGGGCTTGGCACCCGTGTGCTTCCGGTAGTGCCGGGTCAGCTCGTCGGAGCGGGCGAAGCGCCAGTCGCAGCCTTCCCATGTGCATTTATAGGGCTTCTCACCTGCGGGGAAGAGCCACAGGTCACAGGCACAGCACGGCCCCGGCAAGAGCCTAGGCGGACGGGCAATCTGCCCGGCCTCCCGAACACCCACCCCGTCCTCTCAGAGGTGCCCGTCCTCCTTGGGAGGCCCTGGAGGGCACCCTGGGCTGCCCCGCTGCAGGACAGGGCTGGTGGCCATGCTGATGCTTTACGCTACCAGGGTTCACTTGCTGTACACAGTCCATAGCCACCAAGGGACCACAAATTGTTGAGCTGCTGTAACCAGGTCTTGCCCGTGTGCCCCCCGCTCCCCTTTGCTTTCTAGGCTTGGTTTCTAGTGCTGTTCAAGATCCTGTTGGATTTTGGAGCGTTTCTGGCTAAAAAAATTTCTGAGTTTTTTTTTTAACTAAAAAGCCAAAAATTCCTATGGAAGGTGTTGCTGCTCATACACGGGTGGGGGGCATCAGGAGGAGGAAGGGGGTTGCGCCATGTAAATTTTCCTCAAAGCCTCGCCTCTTTGAAACCACCATGTAACGCTCTCTGCCTCAAAGTTCAGCCCTGCAGCAGCTCTCTGTACACAAAACATTGTGTTTTCTTCAGAGCATTTGGGTGACGTAATGCCTCTGCCCTCTCCCCCCTCCCGCCCACACACACCTATTCCCAAACTGAAATCAATTAAGTTGTGCCACCTCTCAGCCAGCTGGGAACTGGGCTGGAAAAGCCCGTGCCCGCTTCCAGCTCCCTGCGTGCCCAGGTTGCAGAGCTGAACCCTGGCTGCAGGCCTCTCCGCACATGGGTGTGGTGCTCTCAAATATTAGCCCTCGCTCTTAACAGCCTGAACAAGCAGGCAGAGTTCAGGGAATGTGCTGACTTTCCCGACCTCAAATATTTACCGTTTCATCGGCCAATTGCTGAGCGCACCATCGCGGCATGAATGCACGTACACATGCAGCATGCATGCACAGGCATGTGTGTCGTGCTCTGACATGTTCCTCCCCGCGGCCTGTGTGCTAGGCAGGCGGCGGATTTGGCCAGGAAACAGAAAACAGTCAGCCACAGCAAGATCTCCCGTGTCTTGCACACACGTGACAAAATACGAAAGCACAGACACGTGAACCTGGAGGAGACAGGGCACCGAGACCGCAGCCCGCTCCACAAAAAGCCCCTGGGCTCTGCACCACGGGGAGGAGAGCGGTGTATTTTTTATAGCTCGGGTAAATAGAGAACTTAAAGTCAATTTACAAGCAGCACGCTGGATGTTTTACGGCACGCTGGGGATCTCGGGGTTTGCGTTAGCGTGCTAAGACAAAGGCGGGATTTGCACTGTGCAGCCACAGACATTGTCCCAACCAGGTCACCTGGCTGGGTCAACCCTACCAAGGCCCTTTAGTTTCAAACAATAACAGGTTGATCTCCAGGATAGAAACAAAATGCTTTTCATTGTCCCACGAGCTGGCTCCATCTCCCAGGACAGCACGGCAGGGCAAGCTCAAACAAAGGACCCAAACTGGCATTCCCAGCCCCCGGGAGGCGGGTGAGCAGCCACCGGGTTATATATTTAATCTCACAATGGCACCCAGGAAATGAATGGTGTCTCCAGGAGATGAATACAGCCCAGCCCATAGCAACGGGCAAACCACAAGAAAAGATCTTAGAGATCATGTACTTCTCAGCCCAGCTGCCATCAGGCGAGGAATTGAGAGAAAGGGTGTTATTAACCCTTCAAGTGGTGGAGCTGAAGCGGCATCGAGCGTACTTGGCTGGCAGCAGTTGGGACGGGCCCTGCCGCGGCAGCTCCGGTGCCGTGCTCAGCGAGGCTGAGGCCTCAAAGGCAAAGCATGAGGCTTCAAAAATCGGACGCAGACACCCTGAGCCTGCCTGCCTGTGGCTCTCTGCTTTGAATTCCCTTCTTTTTACCCGTCCCACAACACCACCAGTTTTCTCGACTACTCAGGTCACATCCTCCTGCACCCCTCTGCCCTTCCCTCTTACAGCAAGTGAAGTGGAAGGAGGCAAAGGCACTTGGACTTCCAGCCCAATTACTGGGAAATCTGGAAAAATGACTGCATTTTATTGGGTTCAAAAACCACCCAAGTTTGCCTGGATACATCTTTATATTGTGACTTGTAAGGACGGTGCCTGTCTGAGACGGGTCGCATCTCTGGGCACAGAGCTAAGACCTGTGCTCCGAACGGAAGGGGAAAAGAGATGTGTAATCGTAAAGCGAGGGCCCTAGCGTAGCCCTGAATACAGATTGCTGTTGTGACAAATGCTTATCACCACCCAGCTCTCGGAGCCGGGACAACATCCTTCCTGTTCCTTTCTTCCACCCCTTCCGTGTTGTTCTCCAGCCGGCTCCTACCCAGGCCCTGCCAAAAAAATATTGTACCTCATGCACAAAGAAAAATTCTTTGCTGGCTTGTTCGAAGGACTGATAAGACAAAAACGGAACAGAGCCAAGTGCAAGAACTGATTCCCAGCCTCAGGATGGGTTTTGTTCGTTGCTAATAAAAAAGAAAAGTGAACTCTGGGCCAGCTTAATTGCTTTCAGTAAAGATCAGCCCTTCTATAAAAGAGATTTATGAGGGTACTGATGGTTCCTGGACTACCTGGGGATCTGATAAAGTTTCAGGTATAATAAATGCCTTAATGAGAAGACCTGTGCTTGAATGCACAAGTGCCGCTGAGCTAGGTTTACCCCGGGGAAGCTGGTTGTGGTGGGAGTGGTGGGAGCTCCTCTGTGCTAGTGACCCTGTTTACACCAGCAAGGGCAGCCCACGGCACCTTCGCCCTCAGGAATGAGGGCACAGCCCTTCTGTACATGTATTCGGAGCCCTTCTGTACGTGTATTTGGCAGCTCCAGTGATACACCGCTGACAGCTGCTAAGGGGACAAGCACGGGGTGCGAGTGGTCCGTGTGGCTGGTACACGAGGAGGTGCGAGGGGCTCCTTCCTCTCCTTGGGAACCACAGGGGCACTTGACTCAAAAGAGACAGCCCTTGTCTCCTCAGAGGTCATGTATATGCACCACCTGCCTTTACACAATCTTTCTGTAGGCTAAGCAGGATCAGACCTGGCTAGGATTTGGGAGATCTCAAAGGGAGAGCTCAGAGTGATAGAGGTTTTGGGGGCACCCCCTCCTCCCAATCCGTCGACTCGAGAGCCTCCAAGAGTGCTCCTAAATTCTAGACCATCCCTCCAGAAGGCAAGCAAGTGCACACAGCAGTGAGCAGTCACTATAAACCAGTGCAACCATTGCACTTTTTTTAACATTAACATCGATAGACTTCACTGCGCTCCTTACCCCAATAACCACCCTCGATTAAGGTAATCAACTCAGCTACATTATCACCACCGCCATTAACAGGCACAGTATAAGAAGTGTAGGCTGGCAAAGTTTCCTGATGATGTGGTGCTCTTACCTGTGTGAGTCCTCTGATGTGCCTTCAGGTGGGAGCTCTTGGTATAAACTTTTGAGCAACCTGCAAAAACAGAAAAAAGCCACAACTTTCCTGTGAGAAAGGGGCCCTTCCTCAAACAAACCCAGAACATTTATATTTGAGGTTAGGGACAGAGCAGGCCTGAAAAGCACTCTGGGTAACAGTATGCAGATAAGCCTGGCTATACCCGTTTTGTTTCAGCAGTAACTAAAGAGCATTGTTCCCCAAGACAGACAGACCTTTACAACACTCCATCTTATGCCACACAATCCTGACACCCGTGGGCATTGTGCTGGGAATTAGGGGCGGAGGGGAAAAGTCAGGCACAACCTTTCAAATCCCCCCGTTCCTCAACCAGCTCTTTGAGGTAGGATGAAAACATTAAGTTCACCACCGTTAGCTGCTGGCTTTGTGCTGCCGTTTGTCTTTCTGGATTCCAGACGAAACTGATATCACTACTGCAAGGCTGGAGGGAAGATGTATTTTGTAATAGTCCCAGCCCCAGCAGATGTGGTGAAAATGTTCCAGGAAGCAGGAAACGCCAGGTACACTGCGGAGCCACAGCTTGGCTTTCAGGATCCAGAATAAAGCCAGCGGGAAGTTTTTTCAGAAGATCAGCAACAACAGGTTTAATCAAAGAAAGGCTCTTAACAGAAACACCGTGACTTTGGCAAAAGTTTCAACAGGCGTCTCAAAATGAATCATTGCTAGTTCCTCATTTCATAGAATCATAGAATCATAAAATTGTTTAGGTTGGAAAAGACCTCTAAGATCAGCAAGTCCAACCGTTAACCTGGCACTGCCAAGTCCACCACTGAACCATGTCCCTAAGCACATCTACAGGTCTTTTAAATACCTCCATGGATGGGGACTCAACCACTGCCCTGGGCAGCCTGTTCCAATGTTTAACCACTCTTTCAGTGAAGAAATTTTTCCCAATATCCAATCTAAACCTCCCCTGGCGCAACTTGAGGCCATTTCCTCTCGTCCTATCACTTGTTACTTGGGAGAAGAGACCGACCACCCCCCTTGCTACAGCCTCCTTTCAGGGAGTTGCAGAGAGCGATGAGGTCTCCCCTCAGCCTCCTTTTCTCCAGGCTGAACAACCCCAGTTCCCTCAGCCGCTCCTCATCAGACTTGTTCTCCAGACCCCTCACCAGCCTCGTCGCCCTTCTCTGGACACGCTCCAGCACCTC